TTTTTTTGTTTTTTTATTGGATGGAGTTTTTTATGTTCTGTTTAAGAAACTATTTCTTATTCCATGATCATAAAGGTATTTTTCTGTTTTGTTCTAAAAGCTTTACTCCTTTGTCTTTCACATTCAGGTCTGCAACTGGTATGTTTTTAGTTGTGGTTCTTATATTAGAAGTTATGTCAGGATTCCTGGACTGTCTCAGACTCTGGCTTTATTAAATTGAGCTGATTCAGATGGTGGGATTATTTGCGAGGATCAGTGTTGTAGATATGACCCTAATTTATGCAGTGATGATAATTTTATTATTAAACACTTAGTATTTGCCAAATGCTTTTATGTGCACTAACTTTAAAAATCTTCACAGCGAACCTCTGAAGTATTAATCTTCCCGTTTTACGCATGGGGAACACTAGGCCAAGGGAGGTGTGGAACTTGCCCGCGTTTACAGATACTGCGTTGGAGCCAGAGTGTGAACCAGGGTCTCTTCATCAGTGTCGCCAGACTGCCTTTGAATGGCATGAGTTCTAAGTGGGACTTGGTTTTAGAACTTTTAGTGTGACTTCGAGCCTTTCATAGGAAAGCTCTATGCTACACTGGGATAGGGTGCCTTTTTAAAAAAGTTCGTGCAAACATCTAAGCTTAGATGTACATCTGCGGTAAAGGATGCAGGTTAGATTCTAGGGTTTTAGTGAGAAGAGGGTATTTAGTAGCATCAGTGTCCTGAACTGGAGGTGTATTCATCCATTGGGCGGACTGTAGTCCCAAGTCAGGAGATGATTATCAGGTTCAAAAATGGTGGCAACATTGTTGTGATACATCTGTAATAATATTACAGTTGAGGGGTTCCTACCAAGTGTCTGAGGGACTGTCCTTCTATACTGTGTTGCTTGTGACTGTATTGTGGTGGTAGCAGAATATTAAAACATGGAGCCATGTGACTACTAGGTCAGCATGACTCAGTTTCTGCTCATGAGTGTGGGTTACATGTGTTGCACCCAGTTCCAACAAAGTAATTCAGTTATTTTGTAATATTTTTGAAAATAATAAATTATTGATTAGGACGTAAAACCTTTTTGGTATATGTACTTTTTATTGTGGAATCCCTTTTTTATCTATTTGTTCTCAGTTAATTGAATAACTTTTTTTTTTGCCTAGATGTTAAATGGGGTCATAAAGGTCTTTCATCCTCTTCATAAAAAGTTATGATATTCATGAAATAGTTCAGATTGCTTGAGAGAATATAGCCTGAGTCATTTTTATTCATAATTATTAACAATGAAAGCATACTGATATTATTAAAAGCTTATCTTCAGTTTAGAAGGGAAGAAGATTAAGCTCATAGATTGTAAGAAACGTGTAAAATTCATTCTCACTCAGATCCATATCACGGTCCTGCCACAAAACAGAATTTCCCTAGATGGTTGACATAAGAAAAGCTTTTTTTTACAAAGGGACTGTTCCGGAGGTTTGGGCAGTGTTAAGAATAAACAAGATTTGGTGAGGCATCCAGAGACTAGCAACAGTGGAAAGCCTTGATCACCCCTAGAACTGAAAAGACAGGTGGAGGAATTATTGTAAGGAGCCCTGTGATGAGGAGACATGGCTACTGAAAAGATATGCTGAAGCAGGCAGGGAGCAGAAGACACTCTCAGCTCCAGACTTCTGCCTGTTCTCAGTGTCGGGCCCAGCCTGAAGCCAACAGGCAAGCACGCCATTGTGCCAGAAGCAGCCTCGTGGGGCCCAGAACAGTGCAAAAGGTGGAGAATGAGGGAAATGGACACTAAGCAGAACACCTTTATCTAGTACAGGGATGTTATAGTACTGTGACAAGGAGAACCAAAACACTAGCAGTTCTCAAACTTTTTGGTCTTCGTACACCCTTACAAAAAAAAAGCCTTTTTGGTTCTGTGAGCTATATTAATTGATATTTAGTGTATTTGTA